CTCGGAATCCTAATACAAAGTAATGGCAAGAATACTGCCACGCTTTACAAACTCACCACCACGGTGCATCAAACTATGCGACTCATCCGAAGGATTGCGAATCGGCACAGAGGCATGCGCGAGCATGATCTCCACCGTCTCATACAAGAATTCGTAATCAGCCGCATAGTTTACTCGTTACCCTATCTCTACCTCTCCCGAGCAGAAGAAGAGAAAGTCAACGCTTTAATACGACAAGCCTACAAGACTGCGCTCACCCTCCCAAGGCACACATCCAACAAGAGACTGCTCTTGATGGGCATACACAACACACTAGATGAGCTGAAAGAGGCACACAAAACAGCACAGCTAGAACGCCTTTCAACCACACCTACAGGACGCAGCATCCTCCAAAAGCTCCGCCTGAACCCAACCAACTCCCTTAGACCTACACACTCCATCCCCGGAGCCATCCAACGCACGCTCTCAGTCCTCTCACTCCCCAAGAATATGCACCCGATCCACCACCAAGCTAGACGGAATGCACGAGCCAAAGCTTTATATAAACACTATGGACATCACCAAGAGGCAGTCCGCGTCGACGCAGCCGAATACCCCTCCAAGTCGGCCTACGCCCTCAGCGTAGTTAACAGAAGTCTCCTCCCAATAGCTTCCGGTTCACTACTGACAGACACCTCCCAAGAAGCGGAAGAGGCGGCTATCGCGCTCGCGATCTCCTCAACCACTGCCACACTCATCTTTAGCGACTCGAAAACTGCCATCCGCAACTTCGCCAAAGGTCAAATTCATACACCCTCGTTCAGACTTCTCTCTGCTAATCTTCCCCCACCAAGGCCCATCCAAATAATTTGGGTCCCCGCACACGCCGGACACCCAGGCAACGAAGCCGCCCATTCCATCGCTCGAGCTTACGTCGACCGAGCAGTGCGGACACTAGAGCCAGGATGCGCCCGGGACAGAATGGTTTCTTACCACGAGATCTCGCTCCACTATCGCCAACAGCGCCTCTACTACCCACCCCCCGATAAATCTCTTACCAAACTTGAACAGGTAACGTGGCGCCAGTTACAGTCACGAACTTTCCTCTCCCCTGCCCACCTCGCCATTATCCATCCGGGTCTGTTCTCGCCTGAATGCACCCTCTGCGACGCCCCGAAAGCGGATTTCCATCATATACTCTACAAATGCTCCGAGCTACAGCCACCATCTGAGTGGCTACTCACTGACCTCGAGCGATGGGAGGTTGCGGTAACCAGCTCCGACCCAGCTGTCCAAAAACAGCTGGTGGACTGGGCCCTAGAAGTCGCCGCGCGACACCAGTTGCCGGCCATTTCCCGCGACCACGAGCCAACCCACACTTAGATTGTAATTTTTAAGGCTCCTTTATTTGTAATAAAGTTTTCACCACCACCACCACCACCACCTGCTGACGCGGTCGGGTCGTTGCGACATGTACTATATAATTCACAATATCATGCAACGAAGTACAACATATGATAGATACACGAACTTGGTCAACACATTAAAAGTTGGATTTCCCACTTACAATTCCCGAACAGCAGACTGCGTTACAAACAATTCCCGGTAAAAAAAAATGAAAGCCGTTTAAAACTCCCTGTAACGCCGAACTAGAGCACAGCTCTTGAGGAGGCGGATGGAAGGGTACTGAGTGGAGGGTATACCCCTCCTCCCTCCTCCTCACCTTATCATCCTGCCTACTATTCCTCCCCCCTTCCTCCTCCCCTCCTCCTCCTTAAACCCCCGGGACCCCCCTGAGGTCACGTGACCCCCCTGAGGTCACGTGACCCCCCTGAGGTCACGTGACCCCCTGAGGTCACGTGACCCCCCTGAGGTCACGTGACCCCCTGAGGTCATGTGACCCCCCTGAGGTCATGTGACCCCCCTGAGGTCACGTGGCCCCCATGAAATCACGTGACCCACATGACGTCACGGGGGTCACGTGACCTCACGATTACGCCGACGCCGCTCCAGCCGGAAACGGGCGCCTGAGAGCTGCGTTCTAAAAGGTCCTAGGACCAGATGGTACATATACCTTACAAATATTAGACCTAAGGCAACTATTTTTCTTCAACTTTTTAGTAACGTACGGCAACAAGAACGTCTTCCACTGGACTTGAAACTAGCGAAAGTTGTCCCTCTTTTGAAACCAAGAAAATCGTCCATGACAGTGGAGTCATTCCGCCCCCGTGAGTCTAACAAGGTGTATTAGCAAAGTTTTGTAGAAATAATAGACAATTATTGCAATGGTGGGTTAAAAACAATGCGCTTTCACCGCGCCGAGCTGGTATTAGAAGACGACGATGCATAGTGGAGTGTATACTGAATTGTATACTAGTAACTCATGTAGAACACGAAAGAAGCGTTACCGTAGCCGTATTTCTCGACACCAAACGAGCTTTCGACAGCATTAATCATAGTCACGTTTTACATGGACTTTTTGAACTCGTGTTTGTGGTCGCAACCTGCATTGGATAGCAGACTTTCTCAAGTAACGCAAAATGTTTGTAGACACAAACGAAGACTAAAGCCAATATATACTCTTCGCAATTGGGTTCCTCAGGGCAGCGTACTCAGCCCCGCTCATTCAACGCGGTCGTGATTCAACTATCGCGTATTCTTCCATCAAGACTAGATTAATTCTATCTACGCAGACGACATATGCATCTGGGCGTCAGCCTCTTTATCAATACTGTTAAAACATCATTGCAGAACGCACAAGACATTCTTGTGTCGCTTTTAAGAAAGCATAGAATGGACCTGTCTGCGACCAAATGGGTCGTTCTCCCTTTCACCCTAAAACGACCAAACAGAATTCAGGCTCTCTGTGAACGGAGAACCACTAGAAAGTGCCAAGACCCACCGATTTTTTTTTATATAGTTATAGACCCAACCCTTACGTAGAATACGCAAGTGACTAAGATCGAAGAAAAAGATAATAGGTTACTTAACGCCTTACGCTGCATTGCTGGAACCAAGTGGGAAGGCTCAACATCATCTCTAATTCACTTGCGCGTAACACTGGTTCGTCAAACGCTAGCCTATTCTATACCAGTGCTTCATGGCCTCTCACGCACCTCCGAGACTCGTCTACATTACTTGTTGGCTCGTAGCCTAAGAGTTTGCCTGGGTTTGCCTCGCGCAACCTCCGGTGTTCTAGCTTTTGTAGAGACACAGGAGCATTCAATTTCGCTCCTTCGAAAAAAGGAAACCTGCTGGAATGTTTTCGATTAAAGACACAGCATACCGATCACTCTCTTTTTTATAACCTAAATAAGCAGAACAGGCGCACGAGTACAAAACGTTCTACTACAACATCAACGCCACCTACAAGGTGTCCCTCAATGGGAAACACTAGCCTCACCTGGCCCTGGACGTTGACGATGCCAAGAGTTCAGACCACAATAAATGGAATGGAAATGAAAAGCTCAGTGAGCGGTATGGTGGCGGCACAACTGGCTCTTTTCCATGTATACAATCAGTACCCCAGTTTCACTCAAGTGTACACAGGCGGATCTACCGATGATCAAAGATCAGCTTCTGCATTTGTTATACCATCTTTAGACACAAATCAGTCATTCCGGTTATTACATAAATCATCCTCTACAACAGCTGAGTTACTTGCTATACTGTCAGCATTACAATTTATTCGGTAGGCAAGCATAACAAATAAATATGCAGTGGCTCTCCAAGTGAGTCTCATATTCATACAATCAATGAACTATAGAAGTAACAACGGCGGATACGTTTAGAAAGTTCTGATTGAAATCCTGGCGGAAATGAAGGCAGGCCACGACAGTGCGCTTAGTGGGCCCCAGGACACTGTGGCCTAAGGTACAATGAAGCGGCAGACTGCCTCGCCAAAAAGGCACGCTGGGAAGGGCAATATCAACGAGTCCCCCTTTCCCATAGAGGAACTCGGGAGATATTAAGGACAGTAGTACGAAAAAAGGGCAGGTTTACGTGGTTTGACGAAAACTCTAAACGCTCCCTTCTTTACGAAATCGACCTTCAGATAAAATTCTGCATGTCCATTTCTCTCACACGCAGCCTAAAAACACTACTACACAGACTTCGTCTCAATGTCGCTTTTTTCGCTAGCTTTTTGCACCATATCCACCGTGCAGATCCTCCAGAATGTGCATGCGGAAAGTCGGTCGAAGATGAAACTCATCCACTAGAATGCTCGAGATGCGAAAAGTGTGTAATTTACGGCTCATACTACTTGACGAACGCCATTTGTCGCTAGTGAAGGTGCTAAGATCCCAGTTCTACAAAAGAAGGGTTTCTTTGCCCTACGCGATTCCATTTTTGAAGCCAGAAAAGCGGACAGTTATTTAGAGTAATATATCTTCACTCAGAACAACGCAGACGCGACACCAAACTAGAAACATCATTATATCATAAATTTTCAATACATTTATTCTTCAACTGTGAAATTCGGTAGACTATACTCATATACCTTGGACGTATATTATCGCGCTAAAGTGAGCTTTTAGTGTAAAAGTATTTGGGCAATCTAATGTGCATATTCTACAGTACAACACGTACGTAGCGTGTTGGAATTATAGGTAAATAGCATGGCAAGTCACTGCACCCTGATGTAAATAGTGTGCTTTGATAACCTGGAGTGCATTGTAGGGTGTTCTGTGCAGTATTCAGATTATGTGACAACTGTGGAATCTCAAGGAAATGGATACTAATCACTCAAGCTAAAAGGGGTAGCCGGCGCTGCAATTGCAGCAGCAAGTGTCTCCTTTTTATCTATTTTTATGAATTATTAAAGAAAGGAACCCTAGTCATAAGCTTCGGCGATGCCAAAGATGGCATATGAGCTTACTAAATCGCTGATTCAAGATTCGGTCGGCGTTGTCTGGTTCTGCTTGTACTGCGATTTAGATTTTCTGGCTTTAAGCACGGAAACAAAAATGCAAACTTAAACACGAATAGTAAAGCCGATATCATCAAAGTTTCTTTAGAGCATGTCCGTGAGTGCTAAATATTTTGACGAGAACGACTTTTTCGTCCACTCCGGTGAAGGTAGGCTCAAGTCTCAATTTCTCGACGTCAAGATCAATATCGAGACCAAAGATTTTTTTTATTTATTTATTCATTTATTTATTTATTTATGTATTTATTGGTGGAAATTGCCGGCCTATGAAGAGGCCAAGGCAAAACAATAAAAAGATTACTAAAAGCAAAACGAAACATTGTATAAAAGCTATACGACAAAAGTAAACACGGAAATAAACATAGGTCGATCTTTGCACACACATGAGCAAAGCTATACGCGCAGTATTTCATTTCATTTATTACTCCCTCAGGGCTCGAAGGCATTACAGAGGGGAGTGAGCGGTTTCCAGATAAAAGTAACATATTTGAGTGAGGCAAAGAAGAACAACAAAAAGTGAAAGCCGTTTACAAATCCCTGTAACGCCGAATTGGAGCGCAGCTCTTGAGGAGGAGGAGTGAAGGGTACTGAGGGGAGGGTAGACCCCTCCCCCTTCTCCTCCTCCTCCCCTCATTCTTTAATATGCTCCGGGGGGGGGGTGTCACGTGACTTCGGGGAGGGGGTCACGTGACCTCGGGGAGGCGTGACCTGGGGGTGACCTCAAGGCCACGTGACCCCAAAGGTGACCCCCACGTGACCTTGGGGTCACGTGACCTGGAAGGGTCACGTGACCTCGGGGGGTCACGTGACCTCAGAGGGGTCACGTGACCTGGGGGTCACGTGGGGTCACGTGACCTTGAGTTGACCTTGGAAGGGGTCACGTGACCTCGGGGGTCACTTGACCCTGGGGAGGCGACCACGTGACCTCGGGGGTCACGTGACCTCAGAGGGGTCACGTGACTTGGGGGTCACGTGACCTTCAAAGGGTCACGTGGGGTCATCTTGGGGTCACGTGACCTTGAGATGACCTTGGAAGGGGTCGCGTGACCTCGAGGGGTCACGTGACCTTCAGGGGGTCACGTGGGGTCACGTGACCTTGAGATGACCTTGGGAGGGGTCACGTGACCTTGGGGGTCACGTGACCTTGGGATGACCTTGGTTACGCCGACGCCGACGGCGACGCCGCTCAAGCCGGGAACGGGCCCCTAAGAGCTGCGCTCTAAAAAGCACAAAAAAACACGTGCTACGCAACATCTGTTAAAAAGTTGGTAATAGCATTTTTAAAATCAACAGTGTTAGTTATTGAGACTATATGTGCGAAAAGGTGATTGTATTTAATGGAGGCCTGGGGTAGAAAAGAGGCATTAAAAGTGGAGGTGTTGCAATGGGGAACCCCTACGTTTAGGTCATGGTGTACACGTGATGATATGTACGATGGTTCTAAAAACAATGCTTGACAGAGAGAGGGTTTAGAGTATTAAATCTCGTGAAATAAACATAGACGATATATTTTTCTTTGGAAAGAGAGATCAGGCAAGGAGTGGGACGATTTCATGGAAGTTACACTGGCTGTACGATGATAGTTAAGATGTAAGAAAGTCATCTTCGGAGGCAGCCCCTATAAAAATGATTTTTGACTTTTTATTGAAAACGTGTTGACCTCTTGTTGACTCTGATTACTTTCTTTCGACTTTGACTTTCTGTTGACGTGGTCAACAGAAAGTTTGTTGACTTTGTGTTGAAACTTTCCTGATGATCTTCTTCAGCCTAGTCAAAAAAAAGCTGTTCACTTTCTATTAACTTTATGTTGACTTTTTTCTGCTGACTTTCTGTTGACATGGTCAACAGTAAGTTTGTTGAATTCTTGTTTAAACTTTTCTGATGATTTTCTTCAGCCTGAGGGAAAAGAAAAGCTGTTGACTTTCTATTAAGTTTATGTTGATTTTTTTCTGCTGACTTTCTGTTGACAGTGTCATCAGAATGACTGCAGACGTTCTGTTTACTTTGTGTTGAAAATTTTCAGTTGACTCTCGGTAGCCAATCTCAATAGAAAAGCTACAGACTTTCTGTTGACTTTTTATTGAACATAGTGCACCCCGACTAGATGCCAAAAGTCACCAAGTTTCTCAGTAGCTTCTGACGAAGTGAGAACGGGAAGCAGCTTCAGTTGTCCCGCCTCCAGCGCGAGCCTACTACCCTTGACAAAGTTTCGGCGTTCGTGCACCTCGAGCGCGCGCGTGCAGTCAAAGCACGACGGAAGGCATGGGGCGCGTCCTGGAGGCCAGGTGTTCGAAAGGCATGCCCTGCTGTTCTGACGTTGTGACTATAGTGACTTCAATGATCACATTAATAGTCAACTAGTAAAAAAATTTAAGATAACTATTTGAAAGTGGAGAAACTGCCCTGACTCGCTTCGTCCTGAGTTGTGCTATGCAAAGAAGCGATAATATTTCTTCTAGAAGTCGTTTTTGTGGATGTTGTTTTAGCGACTGCGCCGAATTATTATTAGTTGTACCAATACGTTTTAGTAAGAGATATCGTCCACGAACTTCGAAACACTATTTTCTCTTTGACAGACTCACGAGGAGAAGATCAAAGACTTGGAACCTTAATAAGTGCTAAGGTGGTCACCGGCAAAATGATTACCTTCAATACGCAGGCTATATAGGGCTCTGCAGCAGTCAATGGGAGTGTGATTCAGGTGTTCAGTGCTTCATGGTGTTTGCGTTTGTGTTCGTTTCTAATATGTAGTTGTGGGATATAATAGTGGGACCTTCAAATATCACGCAATTTACTAACATTTACTGATTTAGTAACATACTAACAAATTATAAAGAAATGATCGCGTTTTTTTTTTTATTACGTCTTTTTGCGGCAGCCAATTTGGAGGAGAGTGGAAAGCCACAGTAAGCTTCCAAAACTTTGTTGAATGAATAGCTAAGCTGTAAAGCATTTTTTTTCTTTTTAATCTTCTGTAGCTTTTCAGTTGAAAAGCTGTAGCATTTCAATGGAAAAGCTACAGAAAAAGCATCTTGGGGGCTACAGAAAGTCTGTTGACTTTCTTATTACAAAGTGGGCCAATATTCAAAAGAAATTCAACAGAAAAGCTAGAGAAAGTCAGATGAAAAGCTAGTGACATTTTATATCCTCTGATGACTTTTTTCAACAGTCTTTCAACAGAAAAGCATCACAGTTTTTTGTAAGGGAGTAGAGAGGCACGGCATGTTCGCTAGAAGGCAGGATGACGACTGACAGGAGGGAAAACAGCCGGGACTCATTGCAGATTTAGGATTTAGGTTTGGGGTGATGCGGTAGGCAAGTAAGCGCTTTTCGAGGCCCGAGGTGCAGATGGGTTTTTTTCAGTGGGTGTCGGAAATATTGGGGGAATGGCAGTTGACACCGAGAAAACTGGCGGACGAGATTGTCAGCAGGTGTCGGGAAAATTGCGGGGACAGCAGATGACCCCTGGAACGCTGGCAGGCGAGTTAATGAGCACTATTATTTGTAACTGCTGGGCCAAGGCGGCTATAGTTGGTTCGCGTCATTCCAACAATCGACGAAGGGCAGAGGAACGGCTCTCCGTTCAGGGGGTCGTCCCTATAGAAAACTACAGAGCCGACTTAAAGGACGCTTTTGCGATTTCACTCTGGTTGGTCGTTTCAGTGGCAGCAATACTTCTAATAAGTTATGTCGCGTCACGACCAGGCCGGGGATGAGGCGGTAGACATTTAGGTGGCTTGTAGCTGTCCAGCTTGCCTTGAGGCGTGAACGGTTCAAGCGGGCTTGCTCGCTAAGCTGCCGCCCCCTACGAGGACCGATCAGTCCCCAGAGCTCGTTTGCACGTGTACGGAGCGGGACGCTGACGCTTACATCGAGTAGCACATGGTATACGTATTCGTTGCGGAGCGCGGGTATGGTGTATGGCCATCCCGCCACAGGCTTTGGATCCCTTCGCTTGCGCAAAAGATGGACTAGATTTACACCATCGTTACCTTTTCTGAAGAAAACTCACGCTTTGAGCAACGCAGCTAGTGGTTTTGCCGCACCGCTTGCTCCGAGGTGAGAAGGGCACCCGAGGTATAAAGACGCGAGAGTCGTGTCTTACTTCTAGGCTTACTCGGTGAGATACAAACGGGGAGTCTTGCTCGGTTCACATCGCTGACTTGAAAGGATACTACCGTCGTCGCAATGGGGAATACGATTAGCTTGAGTTTGCGGTAAGACACAATAAATCCCCTGTTCCTGGCGACCCAGGAGCGATCTCTGGAATGCGGACTCGCCGAGTTAGCCGCATGTACACGAACCCGTCGGCAAGCAATTTGGCGGTGAAGGCTATGGCCACTGCCACAATCTTCGGCAGAGAATTTGTTCGTTCTGTGTTTTTTAACACTTTGTTCTGCGCAGAATAGCTTCTTGGAAAGACGGCCATAGACGGCGTAACCCAGGAAGCCACCGGGAGGTTTTCCCAAGTGTTCACGGTGGCTGGAACTTCTTAGGCCTGACGAAGGGTTCAGGCGGGAAGTTCTAAGCCCGCTGCGACCTCTAAGCGGAACGCGGCAGGTCCGTCCGCGTCGGGGGGACCAGCTTAGAGCAGGCCCCCAGGTACATCGCGCTGAGTGGGACAGCGACGGACAGGTCGGCATTGTCTTCCAACTTCGCTAGAAGAGCCAGCTGTAGCCGGCGCCAAGAAAGACCGACGCCGAGGGTCCCACCACCACCTACGCCGCGTTCGAACGCTACAACGTGGCCACTCCGCGGCAACAACAGCAGCGGCCGCCTCTTCAACACCTCGTACAGCGCCGACCAGAGTGTCCACCTGTGCCCCCGTGCTTCGAAGTGGAAGAACTCCTCCCCGAAGTCCGGGCCTTAATGGGGGTGGGAGGAGAGTGTGAGAGCCGATGGTAAAAGATGAGGCACAGCACAGCACACAGTGCGTGCTGAGCGAGGCTGGAGCTGGGCAGGAACGTCGGAGCCGGGCCGCCTGGCCTGGCCCATGGCGAACCCGGGAGCAGCGAGGTTTGGAGACGGATCGGTGGAAATGGTGAGCCCTGCCCGTACCGACCTGAGCTATGACGGTGCCGGGGTGGTTCCACAGCGAGACTCGAGCTGTGATAGCCCTGGACGGCTAGCGTACTCAGCGCTGGCGTGG